TCGAAGGCGATTCCTTGTTGTCTGACAACCTGTTTTTTTTACAGTCCACTGATTGGATTAGGATATTCCTATTAATTAACTCTCTGACAACGGAAAAAACTTTTCTTTGTTATTGGTTGAGTTTACCGCTTTGACCAGGTGTAATGTTCATATGATATACTTCGCACGCGCGCTCTTCCCACATCCAACATATTGAGCTTCAATTGTCAATGCCAGTAGTTTTGAGAGGGAGTTTATATATATAGATATGCCACAAATGAAAAAGTGGTCGGTTCGCGTAAGGCAAGGAAAGGCGTATGTATATGTTGCTGGAAAGCCGCTAACAAAGACAGGCGTCGAGTATCATCAGTGCTGCCGGCGTGAAAAATGAGGATAATAAGCCTCTCAATTAAGGTATGTATTAAGTTTCGATATTTTGAAACCTTTTTGATATTAGCTAGCTTTAGGCTTCTCGGATTTATAGTAGGTAGAAAGAAAAAACCCTCCTTTTTAAGAGCAAAGCTATAGGCTGGAAGAAAAATATAGCATTTATAAAGGCCTTATTTAAAGGCATGCTATGCACATGTATATATAGTTATATGTGTGATCAAATTGCTTGAGACTGTCGTTATCTATATTTGGTTACTGCTGAAATTCCATTTTTGCGCTGCGTTTTCATTTTGTTTCATTGGCGCTTCGTATATGATCCCTGTTTGCCCGAGAAAAAACGAAGTAGGCATGTCATTATTTATAGGGATTGAATAAAATGACAATGTCGGTGTCGTAGTACGAGTAAAGTACGAGTATGCAGCTGAATGTATGCAGTAGCGTAGGCAGCCCGACGATTTGTCATGCTATGCTAATATTTTGGTGTTCATTGACTGTGAAAACAATGAATTTATAAAGGCAGGAATAATTATAATAACTTGAAATTTATAGATAGCGGGACAAAATCTTTAGGCTGGCTACGCCACTGCATGTATGTGATCAATGTATATAAACACTCTCCTTATTATACAAGACCCTTGTCCCGGCGAGACTGTTTTGATACCAATAAAGTACTATATATAAATTAATAAATGCCTTTTATATAGCCTTGCGCTTAAGCGATATGCATACAGGCAATGCGTGAATGCCATGAAAACACAAATTTAGGTTTTTGTGGGCAAAAGGGGAACGTCATGAGTATTGAAAAGTTTTTTGTAAATTAAGGGGCGTAAAAAATAAATTTAAACAGATGATAGTTAGTAATTTGTTAGGCAACCGCCAACCATGTGGTGTGTGTTCCTGATTGTTCCAGTTTGTGGAGTATATATCCACAATCAAGCGTGATTTTTGGCACTTCACTTGATGCACGTAAATTTTAGAGGTTTCGATGCACGTAAAAGCGTAGCCTGCCGGGTACCTATAGTTGACTCATTTTGCTTTAATTTGAATTTGAAGTGTGTATAATTTCACTCGCAATTTCCTTTTATGTTGACAAACACAAGCAGAGCGGCTGGCCTCCTTCTGTCCAAACAATGCAGAAAATGTTACTGTGTACGCAATTCATGTAGCAGAATACTGTAGCTAATGGTTAATCGATGTCCTTTTTCACTCTGTAGGGAATATATTAGCAGGCATGAACGAGACTGTTGAAGCATTTGTTGTCTTCATGCATGCTTCGGTATCTGGGCGAATTCTGCCAGAACACTTCAACTTCACGTTTGGCAAGGTCCCAAAGTTCATTTGTGTCAATTCGGCAAACAGAGAATTTGAGACATGTTTGCGGCTGGTAGAAATGTTCAGTCACTCGGGTGACTGGATATTGGATGTTGATTTACCCGAAGGTATATATAATACGTTATATATATGTAAATAATATAATACGTTTCCCGCCTGGTACAGTATTGAACATTTATTATCATCTTTGTCAAATCTTTTTCTTGCAGCTGGCGGTGTTGCAGCAGTCACGATCAAACGCAATTGCCTCATTCTGGTAAAAACAGAAGAGGAGGAACGAGAGGCCAGGCGAAAGTTGAAAGAACTTTAGAACCTATAAATCTATATATATATTATATATCTTCATTGTGTGCTGGGTATTCCCGGCTCTACGTGCGAAAATATACAATAATGAAAATTTAATTAAGACAACTTACTTTTTAAATTGTCAGAATGTTCCTTTGCAATTTACAAAATATACTTCTAAATTGGTTTCACTTGACCATTGCCCATTCGACTTGCGTAGAGAATATAACCCGAATAATTGTAGATACAATGCACTGCGTAACTCGGACACCCCTATATGTCTCTCGCATTGAGATATAAGGGTTTCCGAAATTCGGACACCCCAATATGTCTCCCACATTGAAATATAAGGGTTTCCGAAATTCGGACACCCCTATATGTCTCTCACATTGAGATATAGGGGTTTCCGAAATTCGGACACCCTTATATGTCTCTCACATTGAGATATAAGGGTTTCCGAAATTCGGACACCCCTATATTTCTCTCGAATTGAGATACAGGGGTTTCCGAAATTCGGACACCCTTATATGTCTCTTATATTGAGAGACAGGGGTTTCCGAAATTCGGACACCCTTATATGTCTCTCACTTTGAGATATATAGAGTTTCCGAAATTCGGATACCCCTATATGTCTCTCTAAATTGAGATATAGGGGTTTCCGAAATTCGGAGATTTCCGAAATTGGAGTTGTGTCCGCAAAAAAAGCTATTTTAAAAAAAAAAAATTAAAAATCCGCAGAATTTTGTTAATTTCGCTAATATATGCGGAAAATTACAAGTTTGGAAATGTTCAAAATTTTTTGGAACACGTTATGGGTGCATGTTAATGATTAGGATAATGCATCCGAGGGGAATTTCATGCGCTAGCGGGGAATCGAATCCCGGTCTCCCGCGTGGCAGGCGAGAATTCTACCACTGAACCACCAGCGCAACGCCACAAACCGAGTCAATTTCGGCAATAACCTTACTCCGGATCCGCTGTATGAAACATATTTTGAATCAACGTATTTTGTTTTACAGGAGTTCATTTTGCGATGCATGTTCAAGAAAATGTTGGCATTACACCTATAAATTAGGTGCCATGCTAAACGAATCAAACTTAGAAATTCAATTTTTAATTTCGTAAAGAGGGATTTATCTTTTAACAATTGCTGGAAAAGATTTAAGGAAAGGCAGCAATTGGGGGATTAGCTCAAATGGTAGAGCGCGCGCTTAGCATGCGAGAGGTAGCGGGATCGACGCCCGCATCCTCCAAAATATTGTGCTTTGGATCTCAAATCATGCTTCAAAAAACCGTGGCTTTCAGTTGAATGTTTTTCGTAAAAATTTTAAAAATAATATTCATACCTAAGTTTTTAATATTATTATCAAAATTCTATTAACTATTGTATGACAAATATTGATTGATCAATAAAGAAGCTGGCCGTTATCAGCGTTCGATAGCACAGTTGGTAGAGCGGGGGACTGTAGATAAGTCAACAAACATCCCTAGGTCACTGGTTCAAATCTGGTTCGAAGGACGGTTCCATGGAAAAGATTTTGAAAAATATTTTACTTCCCTAAGTCAAATTTATATACTGGCAATGGAGTAGAAATTTATTAAATATATGAATGCATATTTATAACAACCTGACATTTTGAAATTGCCCAGTATGCTCCATTGTTGTGTGCAGCTAGTGAACTAGGTGGTTGATCGAAAACGCCTCAAGAATATGAATACACGTTTTAAGCTGTATGCCGAAATAGCTCAGGTGGGAGAGCGTCAGACTGAAGATCTGAAGGTCCCTGGTTCAATCCCGGGTTTCGGTAGGAAATAATTTGAAAGACTTTGTCGCTTAGCTTGGTATGTCTGCAATATTTTGAAAATAATGCTTTCATTTTTCGGTTTTCGCAAATAGTTTGTTTGGGTTATCAAATATAAAAAACCAAAATAGATAGGTGTTATTGTAACAATAGATTTCAATGCATTACGGCGGCTCTGGGGCATTAGCTCAAATGGAAGAGCGCGCGCTTTGCATGCGCGAGGTAGCGGGATCGATGCCCGCATCCTCCATATTTTTTTCCCTATTCAATCAATTAAAAACACATTAAATTCTCGAAAATGTGACACAACTTTATTCGTTCAAAATATCAATTTTCTTTTTAACAAACTCGATGAATGGCGATTCTTCCTAACCTTGTAAGTGTTCGTGTCCTGGAATATTACTCATTCAAGTGTTGATTGTATTGCCATAATCTCTTTTTCCCGGCCATAATTATAAAAACGGGTTTCCCACGCCGGGAATCAAACCCGGGCCATGGCGGTGAAAACGCCAGATCCTAGCCACTAGACCACATGGGAACTTGCTTTGTCTTACGTAACAATATAATTTTATTTTAAAATTACCCGTTTTTTCTGAAGATTTTGGTACGACACAGCAAGCGCAAAAGAGAAACCACAGGATGGGTGTTATTGATTAGGACAATGCATCCGAGGGGAATTTCATGCGCTAGCAAGGAAGCGAACCCGGGTCTTCCGGGTGGCAGGCGAGAATTCTACCACTGAACCACCAGCGCAACACCACATATTGTTGTCAATTTCGGCAATAAGCTTACTCCGGATCCGCTGTATGAAACATAATTTGAATCAACGTATTTTGTTTTACAGGAGTTAATTATGCGATGCATGTTCAAGAAAATGTTAGCTTTACACCTATAAATTAGGTGCCATTCTACACGAATGAAACTTAGAAATTCAATTTTTAATTTCGTAAAGAGGGATTTATCTTTTAACAATTGCTGGAAAAGATTTAAGGAAAGGCAGCAATTGGGGGATTAGCTCAAATGGTAGAGCGCGCGCTTAGCATGCCCGAGGTAACGGGATCGACGCCCGCATCCTCCAAAATATTGTGCTTTGGATCTCAAATCATGCTTCAAAAAACCGTGGCTTTCCGTTGAATGTTTTTCGTAAAAATTTTAAAATAATATTCATACCTAAGTTTTTAATAATATTATCAAAATTCTATTAAATATTGTATGACAAATATTGATTGATCAATAAAGAAGCTGGCCGTTATCAGCCTTCGATAGCTCAATTGGTAGAGCGGGGGACTGTAGATAAGTAAACAAACATCCCTAGGTCACTGGTTCAAATCCGGTTCGAAGAACAGTTCCATTGAAAAGATTTTGAAAAATATTTTACTTCCCTAAGTCAAATTTATATACTGGCAATGGAGTAGCAATTTATTAAATATATGTATGCATATTTATAACAACCTGACATTTTGAAATTGCCCAGTATGCTCCATTGTTGTGTGCAGCTAGTGAACTAGGTGGATGATCGAAAACGCCTCAAGAATATGAATACACCTTTTAAGCTGTATGCCGAAATAGCTCAGGTGGGAGAGCGTCAGACTGAAGATGTGAAGGTCCCTGGTTCAATCCCGGGTTTCGGCAGGAATTAATTTGAAAGACTTTGCGGGTTAGCTTGGTATATCTGCAATATATTGATAATAATGCTTTCATTTTGCGGTTTTCGCAAATAGTTTGTTTGGGTAATCAAATGTAAAAAAACAAAAATAGATATGTGTCATTGTAACAATAGATTTCAATGCGTTACCGCGGCTCTGGGGGATTAGCTCAAATGGAAGAGCGCGCGCTTTGCATGCGCGAGGTAGCGGGATCGATGCCCGCATCCTCCATATTTTTTTCCCTATTCAATCAATTAAAAACACATTAAATTCTCGAAAATGCGACACAACTTTATTCGTTCAAAATATCAATTTTCTTTTTAACAAGCTCGATGAATGGCGATTCTTCCTAACCTTGTCAGTGTTCGTGTCCTGGAATAATACTCATTCAAGTGTTGATTGTATTGCCATAATCTCTTTTTGCCGGCCATAATTTTAAAAATGGGTTTCCCACGCCAGATCCTAGCCACTAGACCACGTGGGAACTTGCTTTGCCTTACGTAACAATATCGTTTTATTTCAAAATTACCCTCTTTTCTGAAGATTTTGGTACGACACAGCAAGCGCAAAAGAGAAACCACACGATGGGTGCATGTTAATGATTAGGACAATGTATCCGAGGGGAATTTCATGCGCTGGCGGGGAATCGAACCCCGGTCTCCCGCGTGGCAGGCGAGAATTCTACCACTGAACCACCAGCGCAACACCACAAACCGAGTCAATTTCGGCAATAACCTTACTCCGGATCCGCTGTATGAAACATATTTTGAATCAACGTATTTTGTTTTACAGGAGTTCATTTTGCGATGCATGTTCAAGAAAATGTTGGCATTACACCTATAAATTAGGTGCCATTCTATACGAATGAAACTTAGAAATTCAATTTTTAATTTCGTAAAGAGGGATTTATCTTTTAACAATTGCTGGAAAAGATTTAAGGAAAGGCAGCAATGGGGGGATTAGCTCAAATGGTAGAGCGCGCGCTTAGCATGCGCGTGGTAGCGGGATCGACGCCCGCATCCTCCAAAATATTGTGCTTTGGATCTCAAATCATGCTTCAAAAAACCGTGGCTTTCCGTTGAATGTTTTTCGTAAAAATTTTTAAATTAATGTTCATACCTAAGTTTTTAATAATATTATCAAAATTCTATTAACTATTGTATGACAAATATTGATTGATCAATAAAGAAGCCGGCCGTTATCAGCTTTCGATAGCACAGTTGGTAGAGCGGGGGACTGTAGATAAGTAAACAAACATCCCTAGGTCACTGGCAACCTCGTACCCAGGGTCTTTTCTCTGTGCTCACTCTGGGGGGAACACCCGCTGAGAAAAGACCCTGGTATTGTTTGGTCACGTGTCTCCAATTATAATTTTATCCTTGGGGGGGGCTAGTTAATGCATATGTATTGTCGCCATGTTTTCAAACTCTAAATGCGGGCTTTTCCTTTCGTGTTTGCAATTTTCAATACAAAATAGTTTGTATAGCGAATTCATGTTAAAGCCAAAACAGGTGATTTGCTTAGAAAAGGTATTTTTTAATTCGGATGTTCTTGCGGTTTTACCAACTGGATACGGTAAATCATTGATTTTTTACTTGCTTCCTGCTCTGTTATTTGCGGCTAAGAACGGTGTTGCCA